TAGAGGCTGAAAATGTATTAAAAAAGAACGAAGAAGCTATCAATAAGGATGTTAATGGAACTAAACCAACACAAAAAATGATTTGGCCTTTCCCGAAAGCTGAAATGCAAAAGAGCAAGAATAGAAGAAATATTGGTAAATCGCGAATTTATACGGAAAGCGAGAAAAATAAATAAATTGAAGAATTACAAAGGGAAAGGAAAACTTGAAAAAAAAGCCTGGAAGAAAGAAACAAAAAGAAAGTTATTAGAGACTTGTTTCATTCTTCAAAGCCAAAAAAAAAAAAACAAAAAGAGTGGAAACAAGTTCAAGTGATGAAATTTCAGAAACGTCCTTTCCCAGTGATTTCTCTAGTGATGAATTGGAAGAATTTCAAGCCGATGACGATGAACAAATCAATTGTGGAGACTTTGTCTTAGTTAAATTTGCAACTAAGAAGACAATTATTCATTATATCGGACGGGTTGAGTAAATTTCCAAAGGAAACATATTCACACACATAAACACGGAGACAGAGGATGCACCAGAATTAGTAATAAAGACCATTAAAGAACAGTGTGATAGACACAAAAGTAGCACAAGAGGCAGAGGACGTCCCCCCCAGGTTTACTGGTGGAATCAGGTAATAGCATCAAAAAGAGAGGAATGCGTGAAGATTAGAAGAAGACTGATAAGAGTGAGAAGACGTGAAAACACCATAAATGAAAATGCTCTAAAGGAATCTCTAAAATATGCCAAAAAGGAACTTAAAAAAAATACAATCAAGTAAAATTAAAAAATGGAAAGAGCTATGCAAGGAGCTAGATGAAGACATTTGGGGAAAAGCTTACCAAATAGTCACAAAAAAAAAATGAAATTAAAAAAAGGCTCATCCCGGACGAAGAAACTACTAATAAACAAATAAATAAGCTTTTCCCAGCGCATGGAAAAATAACTTGGGAGAAGACAGAGAATCCGTACACACCCTCACTTACTTCGGAGGAGCTTGCATGCGCAACAGCTTTACTGAAAAGAAAGAAAGCCCCAGGACCCGATAGAATAGTCCCTGAAATAACTATTGCCTGCTTAAAGAACAACACTAATTTCTTTAGGAAACTCTTTGACAAATGTCTACAGCAAGGTCATTTCCCTCTTATGTGGAAGGAAGCCCTGCTGGTTCTTATAGAAAAGCCACCCAAGGAGAACCAAACGGAGAAAGCCTACAGGCCTATTATATATAATATGTCTGATCAACTCAATGGGCAAAACGCTGGAAATTATTATTAAAAAGAAACTTCAAGACGAAATAGAAAAAAATAAGATAATACACCAAGACCAATATGGGTTTACAAAGGTTAAATCGACCATTGACGCAATCAAAAGAGTAAAAAAGATCGCCGAAGACATTAAAGCTAAAGCACTAAAAAACCGGGAACTGTGCGTCATGGTGGCATTAGATGTTGAAAACGCTTTCAACTCGGCCCCATGGAACCTTATTATCAAATCTTTGGAAGATGGAAAGGTGAGTAACTACCTTATAAACATAATAAAATCGTATCTCTCAGACAGGAAAGTTATCGCCCCCCACGGGACCTCCCACAGTGTCTCGTGCGGAGTCCCCCAAGGGTCGATACTGGGTCCAATATTATGGAACGTTTTCTATGATAGGATCTTGAGGCTAAGAATGGAAGAAGGAGTTAGCCTTATAGCTTACGCGGACGACCTGGCAGTAATAGTGAAAGCCAGGACAAAAGAATCAGATCATAGACAAAACCCAATATGCCGTAAATACAGTCGTAAGGCACATAAACGATTTAGGAATCAAAGTCGCCCCCAAAAGAACCGAAATGGTAATCCTCGAGGAAAGGCGGAAACTGACAGACCTTAATATCACAGTCGAGAACATACAAATACACAGTCTAAAGGCAACTAGATACCTGGGAGTTTTCTGGACAAGGACCTCCGCATGACCACCCACATCAGCGTAATGAGGAGAGTTATGCCAAATGTGGGAGGACCGAGATCGTCTAAGAGGATAGTCATGGCCAGCACAGTGCTGTCCGCAATACTGTATGCTGCACCCACATGGAATCAGGCTGAGATTTAAGTCCTATGTCAACAAGCTAAAAAGCATCAACAGGCAGCTGGCCATAGGCATCACATCGGCTTACAGGACAATATCTAACTGCGCAGCGCAGGCCATCGCTGGAATACCCCCCCTTGAGCTACAAATCCAGGAGAGAGTCGGGATCCATAAACATGGAAAAGAGTAGGCCAGTCAAGCCAGAGAAAACCGCCTAGATCAATGGCAGGAGAGATGGCAAGAGTATCAGGGATTAGCAAAAACCTTCATTAAGGACGTCAGACTATTGTATAAGGTTAAATACAGAGAGGTGGATTTTTACACCACACAAGCCTTATCAGGGCACGGGGTTTTCGGCACTTATCTAAAAAAAATCAAAAGAACAGCAATAGACATATGCTTCTACTGTGAGGAGATCGATAGCCCTGAGCACACTATCTTCGAGTGCAGAAGATTCCAAAATTATTAATAATACAATAATTAACTTAACTTAACTGAGATCACATTAGACGACATAAGCGATTTAATTCTAAATGATAATACCGGACCGACGATTTTGGAGATGTTGAGGAACAGGATGCTGACGCTTAATTTAGGGACACCCCTGAAGAAATGCCTAACGGCGGATTCCAGAGTAAACCAAGAGGGGAAGTTTTTAGTCGGTAGGCAGTCCCAAGAGGGACTGAATCCGACAAAGGTAGTCGCCAGAACAACAGACTACATCGTCTTCTAGAAGATTTTTTACCCCTCCAAAAAAAAAGGGTTGAGGAAATTCAAGATTCTGTTTTTAATGTCAAGTTCCTTAGAAGAAAGGGCAACAATTATTCTTTTCATTTTCCTGAAGTTGATGACACCAGTGAAATAGACACTTCTGATGTTTTAGCAAAGCTACAGCCTACTTTAACAAGCACTGCAAGGACATCTTCAATTCACGTTTTTAATTATAAGTTTTCAAATATTTTAGTCAAGTGACTCCTGTTTTTTGTCATTATGTTCTATTCAAACTATTAGTTTCAGATTTCAAATTAATAAATAGTTTGTTGGAATAAAGTTGTAGTTAATGTTTATGCGATTAAACCAGTCTAAACATTTGTGACGAAAGTACCCCACCCCTATGACGAAAGTACCCCCGCAGTGGGGAAGCTTCAGCATATAATTGCATAATTTTAAAGAATCCCCTACTAATAAGAACGTGTTGTGTACATTTTTTTACATGTCGCATATCATGTATAAATCATTATACTTTGGTTTGAAGACAAACATTTGGCATATTAATTCATATAACTTGAAAAAAACTGAACTATGCTAAATTTGGCTGAATCTACCCCATTGTCCCCTACGAGACATTCGTTCGGCCCTTGACCTTGAACGTTATTTTCCGCTCACAGCTGATTTAAATTGCAATACCTTCATAATTTGATTTAAGTTAATAATTTTATTATTTTAGGTTGTGTTTATTTATTAAATAGAAATTACTTATTTAATAATTGTGACAAGGCTTGGACACCACAATTTGCGTTACATATTTGTACTAGGAAGTCTACGGAAAATCATAATTTTTTTTTTTAAACTTGTTTTGACCTCTTTACGCCAGTAATTTTCGTTCATTCGCAGAGCGCACCTGGCTGCAATCGCTGAATATTTAAATATCACCGCATTAATTGTTGACATCACACCGCATTAGTTGTTTACATTCGTTTTTTTACCCGAATTTTTATAAAATTTATATTTAATATAAATTTAATCGCTGTCGGATATTTTTATAAATTACTTCCTCCTCTGAACTTTGCCAGCAGCCTCTTTCACCTTGATCTTCATCTCTAATTAAGGCATAAGTAGGTCTTTAACCACCAGGCCTAATATTTCCTCTTTTTCTTTAGAAGATTAAAACTCCTAAAAGAGGTAGAAACTGCTTTTCATGAAAGTAACTGTAAAACCATTAAGTTGACTTAACAACTTAAATTTACCTGCTTCGGCAAAAGTAAACGCGTGCTATAAAAATATTTATACTCTCCTAAGGGATAAACCATAATATCCTCCATAAACCCTGTAAGTCAATTTTACCAAAATTTAAAGGGTAAGTTGAATTGGCAATTATAGTTTAATCAGATGGGTTTAAAGTTATTTAATTATATTTAACCAAAGTACAACAATTGGACAAAAGTAATTACTTCATCTTTGTGTTACTTTATGATTAAAGTATAAATGGTTGCCTACCACCCAGGAATATAACGAGATCGGCGTTCAAAACAAGATAAAAGTTGTTAGTCCATCAATTCAACCTTTGCAATTTTAGCAAGATTGACTTGGAGGCATCCCTCCACCAAACATGAAAATTTTTCAATATGTGTATAATTTTGCCAGAGCTGGTGTTTTTAAGTTGTTAAATCAGCTTAAGAGCTTTGCAGAGTAATAAACTGGTCTAGTGGAGCGCATCTTTTGAGGGAGGTGTCAGAAAAGCTTTCCGACGAAGTTACCACCATAAAACAAAGTTTACTTTTTTAGGAGTTATTATCACCTAAAGATAAAGGGAAAGTAATTAACCCGGTTTGAGGAAGACATGAATAAGGTAACATGAAATAAGTCGCTTGCGGAGTTTAGATGAGGAAGATATGTGATTGATAATGTTATGCTAGAGTCTAAGTTAATGCAAATCTGTTAAAAAAGGTCACCTCAATGTTAGTGGTCACCGAGGTCGGGAGCTGCTGGAACTGGGTGAAAACTTGGTGGTTATAATGGACTCGAAAGCATAAAGAAGATATTAAAAGAAAACTTATGCCAGTTGTTTTTTAAATTTATATAAATTTTAAAATGTGGTGCTTGAATTTCCATCATATTTATATATTACTCTTTTACCGTTTTTTAATATATTTATATTTTTTAGTTTATTTAAGACAAATCTTTTAATTTTTTCTTTAAATCTATTTTTTAATCTTACCTATTTTTACAACAGGAGGTAATGCAACGGATATCCCGAGCAGTCCGGTGAGCCACAAATAGGCTCCCCAGCTGCTCACACAAAACATGGCTCATGGCTGCTTCACATTCTTCTTCATTCTAAATTTTCAACTTTAATAATTGACCTGCAAATATTAATAAAAACAAATTAATTTATTATTATTTTTTGTATTAATTATTATAGTAAGAGGGGGATATGTTCGTATATATTGTATAAGACATAAGTATTATTATTACGCTTATCATAGGTTATCAATATATGAAAAGGGCTGTTTTTATGCAGGTGTAAAAATATTTAATAGTTTACCAACTAATAAAAAGGAAATTAACAACTTAAATTTACTTAAGAAGAAATTGTTTAACTATTTTTGTGATCTGGAGCCATAGTCCTTTCAGGATTTGTTTTTACATTGAATGAATTTTTTGACTTTTTTCTTTTTGTAGGTTCTCTTGTAATTTTATGTGCAAATTTTTGAAAATAAACGATATTATTATTATTATTATTATTAAAAATAAAAAATATTTATTTATTTTATTAGTCCAAAAAGTGAGTTTTTTTGTGCTAAGCTCAAAGTTTAAAGTCCAACGCGTAGCTGCAGAAAAAAACACTCCTTGGCAGTTATATTTTTTTTAAATTTTTGCATTCGTCTATTTAAAAATAAAAGCTTTTTAATTACCCCAAATCATTAGTACCTGACAATAAAAGTATTTAGCACCAAAAGTAAACAAAAGAATTGGGCAACGCTCATATTAATATTTTTCAATTAAAAGTGTTAATTCTAAATATATATTATTAACATATGTACATTAAATAATATATTTTAAATATAGCCAGACAAGAAATACATGATATAAATAAAAAATAAGCATCATGCCTAAAACTAGAAACTTGTTTGTTATTGTTAGTTGTGAATGATTATATTTGAAATTGTTATATTTATTTATTTCGTTTACTTATTTTTATTACTTTTTGATATTCTTATATTAAGTCTATATTTTTACAACCTTTAAATAATTTAATTAATGCTATACTTGAAAATATATTATTTAGTTACATATTTGTACGTTTTGTTTTAAGTGATTTTTTTGTAAATCTACTATTATTATTATTAGGTCATATTGGATCTCGAATGTCTCTCAAGATGTATTTCCTCCATTCCCACCTCGATTTTTTCCCTGAAAACTTGGGCGATACGAGCGACGAATAGGGAGAGCGGCTACACCAAGATCTCGCAAACATTAAAAGGAGGTACCAAGCATTTTGGGATGAACGCATGATGAGCGAGTACTGTTGGACTCTAATGCGTGAAACGGATCCAAAACAATATAAAATACTTAGTTCCACAGCTCTTCATTTCTAATTTATTACTTTTAGTTGCCATTAAATAAATATAATTGCCAAAGATCGTACAAATTTAATTTATTTACTATCTCGAAGACTAGAGCCAATCTTACATGCATGCTCAGTTGCAATTTGGATGCGATTGAACATATTTATTGCGAATTATAGTGACTTCCGGTGTGTGAGACCGGGGTGACCATTCGTGTTACAAATAACTCATGCTGCTTTGACCGAAATTCCACAAAGTTTGAAATTTTCACTTCAAGAATTTTGTGGAATTGTACTTCAAAAATCTCAAGAAAATATTACCCCTGGTAGATGTGCCTATTGCAATTGGAAAAAATATAGAAAAACTGGATTTGTGTGTTTTAAACGTAATACCTACATGTTTTTTTATAGGTTTTGCGATTTTTTTTATAAATATTTACAAAGTTTGAAATTTTCACTTCAAGAATTTTGTGGAATTGTACTTCAAAAATCTCAAGAAAATATTACCCCTGGTAGATGTGCCTATTGCAATTGGAAAAAATATAGAAAAACTGGATTTGTGTGTTTTAAACGTAATACCTACATGTTTTTTTATAGGTTTTGCGATTTTTTTTATAAATATTTACTATCAGTGAATTTTTATGTGTAAAAAGATTAAAGTAAATTAGAGCACATAATAGGCATTTGCCAATCTTGCAAGCAAAGTCCTTTCGAAGCTTAATTTTTCAATTTTTCTTTCACTACCGTATAAGGACCAAAAAATAATATTTTTTTTTATTTTAAGTTGCAATTTTATTTGTATGTTAAAAGTTTAAAGACCTTTTTTATATGAATTTTATTTTTGTTTTTTGCCTGTATTTTCTAAAATATTTATTTTTTCTTATCACTTTTTTGTACCTATATGTACCTTTTTACCCATAAAACTTCACTGATAGTAAATATTTATAAAAAAAAATCGCAAAACCTATAAAAAATCAACCCGGTGTTACAGACCGGGGCGACTATACTTGAAAAAAAAAAATAGCGCGACTACTGAAAGGTTAAAAAACGGAGTGAAGATTTGGATTCAGCGCCCCAAGTTACCTTAAAAACAACTTTTGGTTGCTCAGGTCCAAAACCGTGTATACTTGTGTAATTAGAGGGCTGGAAGAAGACATTCATAACGTGATCATAAAAATCTACGAGTTCTGCCTGAATAACTCATACTTTCCAACAGAGTGGAAAAAGGGTATAATAATACCCATCCCCAAAGCACACACAAACCACAAATTAGCCAAAAACTTCTGACCAGTCACATTACTTTCAATACTATCAAAAAACCTGGAGATGATTATAAAAGACAGATTAGAGAAAGCAACGGAGAATTTCATTCCCCAACACCAATTCGGATTTAGACATCCTATAACCATCCTCAGCTCAAACATACAAGCAAACAAATTTAAGAAAATGAAATCAGCTGCCCTATTTCTTGACACAAATAAAGCGTTTGATAGCGTATGGCATAAAGGCCTACTTTTCATCCTGCACAAAATGAAAACACCAATATACCTGATTCTAATCATAAATGATTTCCTACAACAAATACTATTGCAAGTACGAGTAAATAATGCTCTGTCTAGTAAATTTTCACCGCAACAAGGAGTGCCGCAAAGCTCACCACTATCCCCACTACTATATAACCTTTACTGCTATGATATGTGTAAGGAATCCAGTTTAAGCAGCTACATCCTACAATACGCTGATGACACAGCATTAGTCTGAAATAAACTAATTAAAAGCCTACAAAAGACGGTAGACAGTATTACAGGTACCTGGGCAAAAAATTTTTTCCTTGCAGGAAAATTTTTTGCTCAGGTTCATTTTAACCCATAAATCCGATAGGTTAGTTTTTTTGGCTCACCCTAATATATATACTTAACATTTAACTGACATACTTTTTATTCTTTTTTTTTCTTTTTTTTTTCTACAAAAACTGTACTTAGTATTAACATATAGATGTGACACTAATCTACAAACTTGTGTAAAACATGTAACAGGCAGAAGGACTTCAGTCAAGAGCCTTTTGGTAGAACCAATAAAAAAAACGTTTATTATTATTATTATTTTTAATATTATTATAATAATATAAGCATAGCATATAATTATAATTATAATTATTATTATTTTTATAGGTTTATAATAATTTAACTTTTGACTAGTATTATTATGAATTCAGACTTAAGTCTTTCTAAATAGTACTTATGAGGGGCACTCGCCCCCCTGGAAATTTCTAACTCAACCCAAATATATTGGTACCTAATGTAACATATTATTAACGAATTTTGGTAATAAATTTTTACTAATAACTTCATTTTATTTAATTTTAAATGGGACTGCCACTGACTGAATTAATTATTATCTTCACCCCAGAGCCAAACTGTATTAGTACACTTTTTTAAAATTAAATAAAATACATTCACCTCAAAAATCATGTTTTAACGAAACAAAATCTATTTCAGGCAAATTTCATTCTTTAAGCAATAATTTTTGTTCGATTTGAATTAAATTTTAACGCAATTAAATAAAAAATTGACAAAATGGAACTTCACAACCGCGCGTGTCAAAAAATATATTATAAAAAGTATTGAATTAAAATATGTATTTATACTAATTTAAAAACAAATAATGACAATTAGAAAATATACAAAAGGTTTTTGCACTGCTAAAATAAATGTGATTTTTTTTTAAATGATAAACATGAGTTTTTTAAGGAGTAGTACACGCGTCAGGAGCAGAAATGACCGTAACTACCAATGTTGACTTGCGCGGTTGATTTAATTGTCATTTTGACAATTTTTATTTGAATGCGTTAAAATTTTAATAAAATATAGTACATAGATGAAATTATACATTTTGTAATTTTAATTAAAATCGGAAAAGTAAGAAGTTATTATTTCTTTACAAATATATTTTTAAAAGAAATATATTTATGAATGTGTATAATTTAATTTTTTTAGTATAATTAGGATTTATAGCTACATTAACAATGCTCCTTGGTTAAGAATCAGCGAACGCAAATTACCCTAAAAAAGATGTTGGCCACACTACAGCAAACAGAAAATTTATTCTGTAATAATAGTGTTTGCCCCCCCTGTATATAGGCGCAAACTCAGGGTATTATAATATGAAAATTATTATAGGCATAAAGAAAATAGTACATTTTAGGGCCTAGGACGTTTATAGTCCTTTAAAGTAGAATCATATTCTTTCTCGTCCCTAAGAGACGACAAAATTTAACTATATTATAGGTACTGCAGGAAGAAAAGATATAACCCTGTTGAAAATACGTAAAAGTGTGTGTTGTTTTTTGAGCTATGCACAATAATAAGTAAAAAGGTAAACACAAAAAACGAGATAGTTACGTCTCCGACGGCAATATGGAATGGAATAAATTTAAGTTAAAGATTTTAAAAACATAAAAGATAAAAGTTATTTATATTAAAAATATATTTATAAAAGCATATTATGTGATAAGTATATTTTTATTTATTTTATTTCTCACTTTTTAATATCTGTTGGATATTATCCAAGTTATATCCAATTGATTTTAAACAAAGACAAATAAAATAAAATATTATAAAATTATATTAGAGAAGAAAATAACAATATATACAGTGGTAGTAATGCTTATTTATTCGGTTTAAAAACAAAGACGCATGCTATTTGAAACGTATGTGAGATAAACAACCATCCTTAAACCGATTGGTAACAAACTTTATTCTCTTCCGTCAAGAGCGTGCAGTATAAATTTTTAAA